TGAAATATTTATCTGTAAAACAATAGTATAGACCAGTGGTGCTCAACTTATGGCCCACAGGCCAGATCCAGCCTCCAAAGCAACTGGATCCAGCCCACAGCATGGCAGGGGGAAGGGTAAAAATCAGCACTGCCCCAGAACAGGAGCTCAGCCCTGTGCCCATAGGGATAAAGGCCAGGCTGCAGGGGGTGCTGGGGGGCAGTTGCATGGAGCAGAGAAAGAAACTGACACTGCCAGAGCCCTGCAGAGCTGCCTATTGCCCACTGAATGACCATTTTTAGATTTTAATTATTCTTAACGAGTAACCAAAACCTCTCCCTCCCCCTATTCCACAAATAGAAAACGAAGCTATTACACAAGTACATAAAGGCTAAATCTCATTGCAGTGGTTATTAATACATGGAGCTAAGACAAAGACTACAAGGAGTGTGTGTAAGAATGCGAGTGTCCTAAAGCCAAGGCTAGATAATTTTCCTCTTTCCTGAAAGTTGATTGGTCCATTTGTAAGTGCATGCATCACTGGTGAGTGAGAAGTGACGAGTGCATGCATCACTATTAGACCGGGGTGGTCAATGTGCAGCACGGATGCCACAAGTGGGATGGACACATGGAAGACTAGAGAGGAGACAGACAGTTCAATGGCAGATAGGGCAGGGAGCAGAAAGCAGAACAGCAGATTGAGCAGAGGAACTGTATTGGAGTGGCACTCAAAGACAGTGCTGGGCTTATCTGTGACAAATCTGCCAAAAAGTCAGCCCCTCACTGTATTAGACAACACTGTTACTATTACTGATAGAATAAATACCAAATATGAATTGTGGTTTCTTGAGTGAAATGGGAAATTTTCAGATTTGTAATGTAATATGTTACATTACAAAGCAGTGCAATCAATGCATATGCTTAAAATTACTTATCTGCTTCACTGCCTCTCCTTCTTACAAAAGGACAAATACTGTGACACTACCTCCCATCCTTCAATGTGAGACTGCCATTCTTCCAAAACCTCTAATTTTTCCATTTGTCTCTTGGCTTCATTTATGTTGGAACAGACAGCTTTCATGGCTTGGAGGGCTTCCATTAATGCTGCATAATCACTGTGTTTCCTTGGAGTCCGCTTCAGTAACTCCTGTTTAGACATAAAAATAAATCAGTCTTTGATCTCTAAATGTACATAACAGGCGGTTCAAATTGACTGGGATACTAAAACTAAATAGTAGACATCAGACTTCTCTTTTATTAGGTGGAAAAGTATTACAGCCTCAAGCGCTGCATATTCGTAAGGCAAAAAAAGTCAGCGAAACAAACGGGTAACAATAGGAATAAATGCTATTTACAACAACAAAAAACTTTTTACTTTATCTAAAAATGTTTATTATAATTGGCAAAATTAAACACTTAAAATTCTTGTAATTGAAAGAAAATAAAGTAAGTTGTTTTCACTGAATCTTCACCATTATTTCACTTTCTTCACCTGGCCATTTAATGCTACCTTGCATAGAATTGATTTCAGTGTAATCCTTGTATAAAGCAGTAATCTGTTTCTTCTGTTCTGTCTATGGATCTTTCATGCAGCAGAAGAAAATATTTTAAAATAAGACAATTTGGCTACAGAAATGATTAGGGTAACTCAAGACTAGTCGTGGTAATACATTACTTAATTAACTGTGTCTTAGGATGTATCCTTTCAATTTTCTAGCAATGAATTTTCCCTCTGAGTTAAAAATGCCTCAGAAACTAAATTCACCAAAAAAAAAAAAAAAATACTGGTTCAATAATCAAATTTTACCTAACAAATGTTACTTCCCTTTTAACAAGGGATATCTTGGTTACTTGTTAAAAATACTGAGGAAAAGATATCAAACATAAAATTATTATGCATAAACTATTTGTTTTAAGTGCACAATAGCTTACTGATAAATTATCCATTATTTCCAAATGCCAACTTCAATAATTCAGAAGATGCGAATTTCAAATATTTTATAAGCATATCTAACAAGTAATAACATTTTTATTATCTGTTAAGTAAATCTGTAGAAAGCTACACGTGAATATAAACGCACACATATGAATATACATTTCTACGTATACATCATTTTATACTTATCCCAAAGTGTCTTCTATCTACCTTTTACATTTTTGTGCATTTGTCTTATAGTTTTTAATAATGACTTCCATGAAGGCACTGCATGTGCATAATTCCATTCCTACTTAGTATTTAAGAAGTGCTCAAATCCAACTCAGAACAATCTCATTAAACTCATTTAAATGAATGGCCTCCTCTCAGGAGTGATAAAGATGAATATATTAATACAACAGGGGAAACTGGAGAGGAAGGAGCTAATCCTTTCCAGACAAAAACATTCCTCATTCTTGTTAGCGCTGAAGTCAGGCAAAGACTTTCCATTAACTTTAATAAGAGCATGCCTTAATCCAGTATCTATGGAAGAAATCACTTTAGGGAAAAATTCTAACAACAGTACTGAAATATGCTTAGCCACAAATTTATGTGCAAAGGATGAAGGCCTAGGTAACAAACATATAAGTACCTTTAAAAGAAGGGGATACTTGCATATTCTCTGTATTGGTGTTACTAGATATCCTTCCAGTGGAACATCTGTATTCTTTCTTCCTCCAAGCAGCATACAGTTCTAGAGCGCAGGTGAATTGATTTGATTATAAAATCCTGACAAATAACATCTTCCCAAACCGTAAGTTCTACATGAGTCCTTACAGAAAGTTCATTACATTATATTTTTGCAGTTTTCTTTGAAGAATTGCTTTTCTAAAACAGGGGCAATTATCATCAAAGAAAAGTGTCTATAGGGTAAATAACAGCATATGCACAGAACAGTAAGCTAACATACACAATACTAAGATCAAGACAAATTTGCAAAATTGTCACAAAAGTTCATTTGACAAGACACATAATGTATTTATCTTTAACATAAAAACTGAAACTACTAGAAGAGAATGTATTATTTTACTTGCATACAATGAAAATATAATTCAGGGCAACTGTTGAGCTTTGTTTCCAAACGACATGCTAAAGAAACCAAGAAGCACTAAAGCTGGCTTACTCACTTTGGTTATAACTCCATACTTTGAGAAGAAACATTCTTCTATTATACTTATGCAGCAATGACATTTTCATGCTACACAAATAATTACTTCCTCCCAAACATGAGCTATAGAATAAGTGAGTTAAGCCAAGTATACCTACAGAAACAGAGAACAATATGGAACGCCTGGTGAAAGCATACGTAAAAACAACAATCTGGAGAGAGGTACAAATACCTAGAGTACTAAAACATTCACATGGCATTAAGGCAAACTTTGAATTAATGGCATAAACACATATGAAATTAAGCAAACTAGTAACAGAAATTACCTATAAAGACAGAAGTAGGAATATGGAAAATAGAGAACATACTAGTATGAATTCAAGCTGTAGAAACTAAGAACATCAGACTAGTACAATCAAAAGTATGCTAATGTAATATTTTTACTAGTGCCTACACTTACAAAAGCAAATTGGTGGGGTCTCTTTTGACCTCTCAAACACAAAAGGATCTCTCCACATTCCAGAAGTACACTAGACAATAAAAACAGTGCAGCCTATATGATTAGACTAGGTTACTGAAACAAAAAACTGTGAATCCAATCAAGTATTCTGTGGTGTGGAGGAGAAGGCAGGTAAAGAGACTGGGTAGACTCTCAATTACTTAAAGATGATCAAGCAATAGCAATCACCAGGATTGTTCTCCACCTAGCCAGAAGGCTTTTGAATGTCATCCTGCTACCATGATGTTTATTACAGTTGGCCTGGACTGATGCAATGAACATAGAAATACATCATAAATCCATTTGGAAGCTGCATCAAGTTCAGAATGTAACAACCCATTTGCTAGGTGTAGTATCTCACTACAAATATATTTTACTTATAAAGCACTCAGATCTACCCTGCCTATCTACTGGTTTCCAGACAGCACTCAAAATATTGGTTTTGTCGTACAAAATTGTAATTGTCTTATGACATGACTCCCTGAAGACTGCCTTTCCCCTTGTATGACAATGTATCTGTACCCTCCAGGAATTCCTGGAAGCTGGAATATCTTCCAATTATGGGCACTAAGTTACAAGGTAGCAAGATGAAGCTTTCTTAATTTATAAACAGATAGCAAGGTGTTCTTTAGGAGGTATCCAGGATTTTTTAACTTATTTCCTCACTGCTAGCCTACCATATGCAAGTTAGGAGGCATTTAGGCCATACTGTAGAGCCCATCTCTTCTGGGCAAATGCTAGGGAAGTTCCAATTTATACTGAGAGAAGCGTGTCCTTTGACCACTAAGAATTGACAATTTGGGTTATATTCCCTAAAAAGTTCTGAAATAGTCTAAGATTTCAACATGTTCAGGAACTTAAATTGGATTCATTTAATTAATGGAACAGTTGCACTTGGGTCCAAGCCAAGATACAGCTTAGGGTAGGGGTGGACAATTATTTTAGCTGGAGGGCCACTTAATGAGTTTTGGTGCACAGTCGAGGGCCACAAGGGTAACCTCACCTGTTGACAGGTGCCCTGCCCTCTGCAGAAGTACTGACACATCCTAGTCAAAATCCCCAGGCTCGACTGCAGCCATCACCCACTGTTTCTGAGGAAGGTGAAAAGAAAAAACTATGACACCTGTAATAACAGGAGGGGACAAAAATCCTTTCCTGTCTCCATGTGGCAACCAGCAAAGCCCATAAGCATGGGAAAAAAACAAACACCCTCTGTTTTGCTCTGCAAACAGAGGACAGCAACATAACTCCATTCATCACACCCCAAATTGTAGCCCATTGGCTGGATCCAGCTCTCCAACTGATTGCATCTGGCCCACAGGGGATGCCTGTCAATTGATGATAACTGGCCCGTGGCTGCTTCCACAGTGCTCTGCATGGGGCCAAGCCCCACCCATAGCAGCCAGTGCTGTGCTCCTGCCCACTCCTGCCAGCCACAGCCTCGGTCAGCGTACACACCTTCTGGCGGGACTGCTCCCAGTACAGATGCAGCTGCCTGGGGGGGTGCTCAGCTCCCCTCACCTCCAGCAGTGACTCCTCCTCTTGCTCCTGTTGCACCACTCTGAAAGGGGAGGAAGCTGCATCCAGGCAGCTCCTGTCCCAGTGTGCAGGGCTGCAGCTCCAGCTCCAGCTCCCAGCTGCCTTCCAACGCACTCAGCCCACCCAGCATAAGGAGCAGCACCTTGTGGGTAGCTGAGTGGGTGGAAGGCAGCCAGGAGCTGGAGCCCCATACGCTGGGTCAGGAGCCACCTGGCTAAAGCTTCCTCCCTACCCAGAGCAGTACAGCAAGGGCAGGAGCAGGAGGAGGAGAAACTGCTGGAGGCCAGAGGAGCTGGGCAGCACCTGGGCGCCTACAGCTGCACTGGGAGTAGTCCCACTGGTAAGCTGTGCATGCTGACTGGGGCCAGCCCAGAAGGCACAGGCAAGAGTGCAGCACAGGCTATTCCAGGTGGCCAAGTGTGAGCAGGTGGGCTTGGCCCTATGCTGAGTGCCATGGGAGCAGCTGCAGACCACACCACTCGGGTGAGCTCTGCTGAACATCACCCTCCTCCTCCCTTCACCCCCAGGCAGCACCCAAGACCTAGCACCCAGGAAGCCCCCACCCGTACATACACATCCCACACTCCTTCCATAGGGCAGGGGCATGCAGGGAGCAGATTGCAGCTCTGCCCCAGGCCCTGGCCCTGAATGTCTCTGCCCCTGCCCTGTGCTATCCCTGCCCCACAATCCTGGGGTCTCCATGGAGTCCAGCCAGGAGCCGTGTAGGCAGGCAGACAGAGTGCTGTGTCCATGGCTGGGGCCAAGGCTGGGGCTGGGGCCTGGGGCAGAGCCACAATCTACTCCCTGCACACCCCTACCCACGGTACTCATGCCCATCACAGGAGCATACGGGTAGCAGATCGCGGCTTTGCCCTGGGCCCAGGCCCCAGCCCTGTGCTGTCACCATCCCACAACCCCACCCTGTGATTCTGGCCTCACCCACCCACTTCTGAACACTGCTCCCCGCTCAACCACAGCCCCATCCCACATAGGGAGTTTTGGTCAGCTGTTGCTGGGGAGAGAGGGGAGAGGGAAGGGGAGGAGGTGGGGAGGGTGCTGACCCAGCCCACAACAGCTCATCAAAATTCCCTACGTGGTCCACAGGCCCAAATAATTGTCCACCCTTGCTGTATCCAGACAGCCAGAACTCCCCTTTCTGCATCCCCTTGACAAACCTATTCCAGTTGCTTTAAACCTTCTTTCACAACTAGGCTGATTGTGGAATTCTGTTCATTCTCCGCTTGCTGAGCACGGCCCTATCCAATATCCACCTGCTCTAGACCACAGAGCTCTTCTCATTATCTCCCAGCAGTCCATATGTGGGGAGGCTCCTGGGCTTCCAGCTGTTGCTCTTACCAGACATAGCTATTCCTAGATTATCCCTGGCCAATTTTTATCCAACCTCTCCTTTGAAACCTACAGTGATGGAGATTCCACAACTTCCCTAGGTAGTCTATTCCACTCTTGCTGTTCTAACAGTTATAAAGATTTTCCTGATGTCAAATCTAAATCTATTTTGATTCACATTCAAGCCTTTGGCATGCATCCTGCTCTCTGCAGCACTGGAAATATATAGCAAACTGCTATAACAGAAACGATTAATAGTTATACTTGATAAGGTAGCCCATAGGTAGCAGCAATGAAAACCTACATCATGCTAAAAAAATAAAACTCATACACATTTGTTAAACATCTGTTTTATCACCATTCTATTGCTCTGTTTACTAGCCTCCTTAACAAACTATTTTTGGCTCCTAAATCTTTTAGTCATAGTTCCCATATCTAACAATTTGCTAGGAATTTAAATGTCTAATACAGCATGATGTACATCCAAATATTACTTAGTTAGGATCTCATATAATGCTAGTAGGGGAAATACAGGAAACTGTTCATATTAAATTCCCTTTTTAACTTATCATGTCAACTATTGAGAAACTCAATGTTGCCAAGGCAACTGGTCCTGTTATGGCAAAGGACTCTCATGAGGGCTCTCATACTTAACATTTTGAAACATCTGCTTAACTGTCCTGTAAAATGAAAGACTTCTATTGTGTAGCAGTCCTTTGTACTTAGAGAGATAGTTACGTGTGTTAGTCTGAAAGCAAGGCACAAGGTAGAGGTGGGTGACTGATATAACTAACCTGGTCAGAAATTAATGAGTTAGTCTCTAGGGTGCCACCTGGCCCTGCCTTCTTTGTACCTACTTAGCATACGTAAATGCCCCAAATCAGTTTCTTGCTAATATATAACCTACAACAAGGTTTCCTTCTGGCACTGAAACACCAACAATAGGATATGGAACCACGTAATCATAGGGTCAGAAGGGCCTCAAGGGCCATTAGGCACAACCGCCAAAGAATAAGCTAGCCAGGACTGATCAGTAGATAAAGATCCTGGCAGTGGACACAGGTCTTGGATAAGGAACCTTGGCACTGGAAGGCCAGGAGCACTTCCTCTGATCTAGCTCCTCTGCCAAATTTGGCCTTAACCATAGGTCAGCCCTCTAAATTGCTTCCATGTCACTCCTCTGATTTCCTTCCATGTCATTCTTCTGATTTCCTTCCCTTTCCCACTTCACACCATACATCCCATTCTTTCCTGTTCTGTAGCCATACATGGCTGGCCTCATTATGCTTTACTTCCAAACCAGGGGAATATAAGGTATATCATCCAGTGCTGTTCTGTAAATTGGTCAAAAGATGGCACTGACAGTCCCTTCCTCTGCAAATATTACCCATAAAGTGCATCTGAGCTATATCCACACAGAGTGGCATGCACAGGATGTAAAAAAACAGTTCTGACACACCATTGCTCTCAACTGATTAGTTATTAGATATTAAGATATTAAACTAGATAAGGAATGCAAGGTTTATTTACCAAAAGAAAAGTCCTCACTGTTCTTATTTTGTTAAGTTCAAGAAGAAGTTTTTGTGCCTTCTCATGGTTACTACAGTATTCATCGTAGATACGAAACCTGTCTTTCTGTAAAGACAAAGAAATACATCATTCTTACATTAGTTGTCTTCAAAAAAAGGTGCTGATTATACACTTTGGGAGGGAAGAAAAATAATAGAATCTGCATTTCAGAAGATCAACAATTTCATTCCTCTCTTTACATGCAATTATTGTATGAAAACCCATACTTGAAGTAATCTTTAATTCTGCTCTTAATTAGAATTGTAAAAATAATTTATATGACAACGTGACGAGAGTTTGCTAATATACTTCAGAGACCAGATTACTACAAATAAAACAGGGTAGGAGATTGCACAAACAGCTGTCTATTTTCAGCGTTATTCATCTGGCATGTGCAAGCATTTGTTTGCAAATACAATCCACATCTGTACAGAGTATTACCTTTTAATATTTTCCCCCCACAATATGCAAACAAAAACTATAATTAAATTATAACCAGAAGAGAGACAAGTGATTTTTTTTTTACATCTGTAACTGTGTAAAGAATTTGGAATTGGTCCTGAAATTGCAGAGCTTTGAACAATGATGGTGTGCACTCCAACAGGAAACACAATGCTTGAATTGTACAGTTGGTGTTCAAAGTCCAGAAATATATGTTCTAATATACCAAGGCATGTTGCCTTTGTGACAAGTTATAAAAAATTTAAAAGCAGAGGACACAGAGGTATTTACCAAAGCCTTACTATGTAACATTTGCTAAAATTTCTACATTTTCTATTTCACAGCAGGTCCTTTCCTTTTTCATGTCCTTATGACAACATATGAAACAGAATTCGCAATTTTACTATTCAAACAAAAACATTCTCTGTGTTTAAATTAAACAAAATCATTTCCGAACAAGTAGTGTGTGAATATGCATCACAGTTCAAACCAATATCAGAGGCTGAAGGCCAATTTTCTAAAAACAAAAAAAAAATCCATTTTACATGCTGAGGCTTTCTCTCTGTATTTCTTTTTCTTCTTTTATTGGCAAAGAGAATAAACTTCAAGTGACCTTAAAGTACCCTAAGTTATGCAATCCAGTCAGATTTTGTCCTCCTGACTATCTGTATGCACACCACTATGGCAGTAATTAATGAAGACAGTCAGAAGAGAGAAAATCTTAATTGTAAAGTAGGCATAAAGGATAGCATACATAATAAAGAAAGCAGGTTCCCACTTCATGATGCGCAGTAGGTTCAGGCTGCAAACAGTCTTCCACCAGAGACAGGAAATCCTTGTGAACTGCAAGAATATCTTCAATATTTGAAAACAACATCTGCAAGAAAATAAGACATAAATAAGTAAAATCATAAAATATAGAAAAGAAAAATGTGCACAATTAAAAACTAACCTTAACTGTCTCCTCTGTGACATTTTTATCAACTTTGGATGCAGCACATTGGATCATTCGGTGAAGGAATGCCTACACAAAATGAGAAAATAGTATACTGATTTAATGTAGGTTTACTCAGGGATAATAGTGCAACTTTAAGCAAATACATTTTACTGTTTTAATTAGTTTTCTGATGTTTTAAATACAGAAATAATAACTTATAAGAGCATTATTCAGAACTGAACCAAACACTAATTTTAATGGTCATATCTAAGGCAGGGGTCGGCAATGTTTTTGGATGCAGTGCCAAAAAACACCCACAACCTTGTTGACAATGTTGGCATGCCAGAGGTAGATGGCGGGGGAGCTGTGAGGGGCCCGATCCTCTTCATGACTGTACACCCTGGACTCCATCCACCCAAAGGTGCACATACACCCACCACCAACAACAAGCTCCACAGACCCCAGTGCTGCTAAAAAAAACATAAAATTCACTGAGAGGGGCCACTAAATCATGAACAAATCACTGATGTAGAAGAGCAGAATCAACTAGAAAGAAAAATTAGCTGAACAAGATGTTTAAGTTTGCTATATATTAGCCTGGTACAAATTTTCATAGCTATCTCTTCATCCTTTCCAAAACAATACCTAGTCCCTGGAGTTTACATGAAAACCAAATTTGTAGCATCACTACTTATATTTGGTCTGGAAAAACATTGGGGGAAATAAAAAGCTTGCAATGAGATTTACTTCAAACTCAATAAATTACATTTAAAGTAACATGTTTATCATTAAATTTCTACAAATTCATTCCTTTATCAAGAGTAAAGTAAATTCTGAATTTTTTAACAAACTGAAAGATGAAAGGTTTACAGCACCAGTTGTTCACATTGACATAACTTTTAGTCATTAAAATTGGCACAACCACTGCACAAATGTCATGTTTTTCATGTCCACTTAGCTTCAAGTCACTGTGCATTGTATACTGTATATGAACTCATCTAAATTCTAGTGCAGTACAAATTCCATAAAAGAGGCCATAAATAACCCCCGTTAAGAGAAGGATAGCATTCACAGGATTCCTTTTTTTCCATTGTGCCTTACACATTTTAATTCTTAAGAGGATTTCCTCTCTTTCCACTAAGAATAATTTGTTACTAGAGACATTTTTATTAGATGAAGAAAAAAGCAAATGTAGGTTTCCAAGATACATACACAACTGAAGATTGATATTGACTATTTGTTTAAATGTTTAACAACAGTTTTTGTGTTCATATTAAAGAAAAGTTCCTGCCCTGCTGATCTGTGATTTCTTTTTCCCTGTTTACTGATTTTAACTCTACCAATTCGATTTGTAAAAGCATAACTAGAATTCAGTGTATTTATTTTAAATTCTTCCTTATTATAATACATCGGGGACTAACATGCCACCGTTACTTTGTGAATCAACCATCCAGTGCACCGGCATTCCAACATGCAAACAAAATTGCGCTTAACTTCTGCTATGTGCTCATGAATTCCTCCTTGCCAAATTGGATTTTCCCAAAACTTCTAAGATAGAATTAAATATGCTTTAGGAATCTAGCACTATGAGATAATAAAGTCAGTAATGGGAGAATCACCATTAAAATTTGTATAATAAACCATAATATTTTTTCAGCTAAGGAGCACTATTTGCCACTATCCCCAACTATGTGAAACTTCTCTGTTCACCATTTTTCCTATAGACAAAACAGGGAGTTTTTACTGTTTTTAGCCAATTATGTTTTCCCAAGAAATTGTTATTTTCTGCAACCCTGAGGAAAGGTGAATCCCACTGTGTGCTGAGTGCAAAACCAAGATGATTTGCAAATCCAAGTTTTAATTATAATAATTTAGATCTTTAATTCAGAGTTTGCACTAGGGAGCATAGAAAGAGAAGGCAAGAATCTATGTACATAGGAAATAGAGACTTACTCTCACCACAGCAGCATTGTCTTGTTCTCCATAATCCCTATATTGGTGTCATAAACTGGACTGTAAGGCAGCCCAACAGACTACTCCACGCAAAAAGAGAAAAGGGAAAAAGGAAGAATAGACATACAAGTCCTCTAACCAAACCATAATAACCTCAAGGTTGCAATGAGCCATAAACCCAACAGGTAGATAGGATGTCTAAAAAAAAACCATAAGAGAACCTTGAGAGAATTTGTATGTTGTGACTGCAATAGGAAGTGAGGATGGGAAAGTAAGAAACACTGCCAGATGCAGAGCGATACAAATTTGCTTCCTAACAGGGCCCCACCACTGTACTCCACACAAATGTAACAAAGGGAAAAAAAGAAAGTTTCCAAGTGTTAGAAAAAAAAAAAGAAAAGCAAAGCAGGGGGAAGGGTAAATACACAGAATGGTAAAGCAGCAGAGATGGCTGCATCAGACCCACCTCTTTTCCAAATACCACCCCCAATCAGAACTTGATTTCCAGCACTGTGCAGGATGGTCATTCTGGGTAAGCAGACTCCAGAAGTTTTGTCAGGTTTTTGGTTAAGAGTAGCAACAAAACATGAAACAAGTTGATATTCTGCTCTGTATAATGGTAACTACTGCAGATGATATTATTCTTTTCAGAAGGCTTTAACACCACTTATATGAAACAGTTCAATACAGTTCAAGTAATACTGGGTAAATATTTCACGTCATGCTATGGTGCAGTTTTTTAACAGGCATGAATTCACTTACACGCATAAAAGGGTAAAGTCAGTGAATGTTTTCAAGCAGCCTTATAGGGCCTGAGGGGAAAAGAGTGAAGAACATGTCAGAGATGGTCTTGTTTTAAGGCTGAGAGACAGCCACCTATAACAAAGACTTCAAAATATTGTAAATCTTACATCAGAGGCAGCCAAGAACACAGTTCTCTAAAATTAGTACATATACAAGCAACAGACTACACAGAAACACCTTTTTAAAAAATGTATAGATATTCTTAAATACAAAAATCAGAAAAACGTTTACATCAACTTTAGATATAAAACCAAATTATGTCACTGGCAGTAAGCAATTAAAAAAAATAAGAGGATGGAAGAGAGAGGGATAGAACAAAAGAGAAATGTACAATAAACAACAATCTAGCTACCAAAATATTTGAAGTATTCCTTCCAAATTTCACCAAACTTTTCAAAGCTGGTAAACCTGCTAAACATGACTCTTCATACATGCTACCTGTGCCATTTCATTGTACCAGACTGCAAACTTTGGAGATGACCTATTTTTCCAATGCAGCAAATAAACATGCATGTTACTAAAAAGGCCTGCTGTAAAAGTGCCATTTGGGAAGGATTCAGTTTGAATTCCTTGGGGATATACCCAAGAACACATATATTTGCCAAAGGTATCAGTGCTGTATTCAAACCACATTAACTCCAGTTAAAAGTTCTTTTAAAAAATAATTGATAATAGGGCATCACCAAAGCATGTGACTAAGTGTTGCTTGTAATGAACCTCCAACATGTATCTATTGGAAGCATATTTAATGTTCAGCCCACTGCAGAAGAATAAATCTGTTGTTGTACAAGATGAAGTCTAAGATCAATTGTTGATGTTTGAATATTATGAACTACTGATTTCCACTGGCATTCTGTCATTTGGATACGCAAGTCTCCGTTCCATTACAGTCTTAAATAGTTTGTATAAGGTCTGTTATGTGGCATTATATATTTACAGAGTGGTTGCACAGGATGGGGAAAAGCATAAAGGGCAAATTATACATATATATTTATATATACACATCTATATATATAGAGAGAGATGGATATAGATAAATCTATTTATCTATCTATCTATCTATCTATCTAAATAGATAGATAGATAGATGTGGAGAATTTCCTGTATCTAAAGCCTAAGGTCCAAACTAACGTTCTAATACTCCACACAACCACATATGTTGCCACTCAACTTTTTCTGGAAGGTCAAATTCACATAACTCAGAAAAGGACTTAATATGACTTCCTGCTAGAACTGTTAGAACTGCACAATACTCTTTGTCCACCTACTTTCTCCACATGAGTTTGTGGTACCCATACTCCAAAAAAAAAATTCTCGATATAGAGACCGTAAAAAATAACACAGGATGAAAGTTTAGCATGTTTGCCAATTTTTTCCAAACTTCTTGAGCTGCAAAAATGGTAGGGATTCAAAGACTGATAAGTAGAGCTTATGATGGTCAATAATGGAAGGGGAAATATAAGTGCCTGTTCAATTTCCACCCATAAAATAGAGTGATCAGTTATATAGGTCATCCAGTACACAGCCTGAGAGTAACTGAGAAGGTATAGTGATGTTGTTGAAAATTTGGAAAATTAAAGTTACCATTTCAGTTGATAGTGCATCTTTTTTGATGAACACTGATCCCTTTTATCCTCTTCCCACAGAAACCTGGTGAACATTTGGTTGACTTTGTGGCAGGGCACTGTTGGTGCCTGCCACTTGAAGGGCCGAGCCAAGCAGCCAGCAGGTGCTTAATTGCATTTTAGATCCATGGCTACCTATATAAACAGGGCAGTTTGCTGCTTGCAGGCAGGTAGTAACACTGCCTGGCTGCTTGTAACGTTCTGGAGGTAAGGGCAGGAGCTGTAGGGGATGTTTGGAAGCTCCTGGTCCTGGGCATGACCTAAAACTGCACCCTGCCGGGAGTGGGTGGCCTGGTGGGGCTCTCAGTAGTGTGGGAGCCCCCAGGAAATGCCAGGCCAGTTATCACCCCGGTAAAAGGCAGGCAGGGGCGCCTTAACCCCAGCCCTCACCTTCAGGTGGGTCATTTACCATCAGAGCAGGGTAGGCTAGGTAAGCTTCTGGAGGCACCTGAGCCTGCTGGGGGTGTGACCCCGCAGGGCCAGGCACATTTCCAGGAGCACCTGAGCCAGGAATGGGGGACCCCGATCCCTAAGTGCAGGCAGGAGACGAAAACCCACCCTGAGGCACTCAACTGGTCAATACTGAGGCCAGGACCGGAAAGGTCAAAAGGGCCAGGGGCCCACCACGATGGACGCCCATGATAAGCAAAGAAGCTCGGGGTCCCAACTGGCCAGGGCTTATGGAAGCCAAAGGTCCCCGTGATT